TAGGCACAGTCAGTACAGAACACAGATATCCCTTACAGCCCTTTCTAATCAATTTTTCAGCTTTCACAGATGAAATCAGATACGGGGGAGGTACTACTCCAACCCCATTAAACACAAATTCAGGTAGACCAGGCGGATGGAAAACTACTTGTTTCGTTACACAGTCTATGGTGGCATGATATTTTGTTAACCAGTCCATCCCCAATATTACATCAAAATGATCAATGTTCAATGGCAGTAAATCAATAAACAAATGTGCATCTCCAACAATAATTTCACAAGAAGGATACATGTATGCACAGGTCATAGATCCCCCAACGGGTGAGGATACAGCTACAGATAGTTCATAGGTTCTAAGGGTCTATTCAATTTACGCGAAAAAGCATGCGACACATAAGAATGCGTAGACCCCGAATCAATCAGTACATAAGCATTCTGAGTACAAATAGAGAGAATACCTGACACAACGGTCTTGGTATTCTGGACATCTCCTGGTACTAGGGCGAACACTCGGCCCTGCCTCATAGGCTCTTTCCCGGTAGCTTTGGGGTTCAGTTTCGGTGTAACAGTTGATGCCGCTACGCTTGGTGTAGCTTTATTACTAGTTTGTGGAGTAGAGGGACAGTCTTTAACCATATGGCCCACATTGTCACACCTATAACAGGCTCCTGATATCTTGTAACAAACTCCCTTGTGATTTTTACCACACTCAGAACAGGGCGGTATTGTACAGTTTCCTTGACTAGACGTAGTCGTTGACCCCGTATTCTGTTTCTTGTTCAATGGACTATGCTTGCCTTTCTTGAACTTGAAACCCTGTCTTTTACCCCGCCATTCAGGCGCTGGCGTTTCAGTCTTTAGTGCTTCAATGTTCGATTCAGCCATCAAGGCTCGGTCAAGGACATTCACGTAGTTCGGTAACTTCAGTACATTTATTCGGTCAAGAATTGCAACATTAAGGCCGCCTTCAAATTTCCTGGCCTTCTTATACTCAGTATCCACCATATGCGGTGCATATCTAGCAAGCTCGGTAAACTTCGTCTCATATTCAGCCACAGACATTGCCCTTTGCCTCAGCTGTTCAAACTCAGTTACTTTTCTGTCCCTTACACACTGAGGAAAGTACTTTTCAAAGAAGGCTCCTTTGAATTGAGCCCAAGTCAGAATGGTATTTTCATCACGGATGAGCATCCACCACCTTCTAGCTTCTTCTTGCAATGTAAAGGTGGCTAACAGTAAAGTAATTAGGGCATCTCATGAGCATGATAAGTGTGTGATATGACTGACTGAATATATGCTAATGTGTTAAACTGTTAAACAAATGACTGCTTATGTTTAAAACGGTTATAACTGCTTATAGTGAAATGGATAATGCAAACACTACAAACGAAACTGAAACCTCATCCTTTGAGGCCAGAATGGCCAGACTGGAACAAATGATGGAACTGATAACTGCAAGACTGGACCAACAACTGAATCAACAACCCCCACCTCCTCCTCCGGTTGTACCGGAACAAAATGTGAATGTGAATGCTAATGATGGGGACATAATTGCTCTCACCCAGAAGTTCAGTAAAATGAAACCGCCATCCTTTCAGGGAGGCCTTGAACCGTTAAAAGCTGAAGCTTGGGTTCTGGAGACTGAAAAATTGTTTGAAGTTTTCCCGTGCTCTGAAGCACACAAGGTACTGTTAGCCACCTTTACATTGCAAGAAGAAGCTAGAAGGTGGTGGATGCTCATCCGTGATGAAAATACCGTTCTGACTTGGGCTCAATTCAAGGGAGCCTTCTTTGAAAAGTACTTCCCTCAGTGTGTTAGGGACAGAAAAGTAACTGAGTTTGAACAGCAGAGACAAGGAGCAATGTCTGTGGCTGAATATGAGATGAAATTCACCGAGCTTGCTAGATATGCACCGCATATGGTGGATACTGAGTATA